CTTAAAATTTATTGACTTCAACATGCTTTTAAAACTGCATATCTTTTTAAAACAAACAAACTTCACAGCCTTGGGAAGTTTCCATGTCCACTGTACACAGTTAGAAAGCGTTTACAAAATGAACCAAAGGTTCCAGAGACAATCCCTTAATGCTTGAGTTTAAACTGTCAAGAGTTTCCTATTTCTTAGTCTATTGATTAAAACACATACTAATGCATTCCTCTTACAGAATAAGTTCAAACCATTTTTTTCTCTGCTATAACGCCCTCTTACGGAAAATGAAACCAGTGGCAGAACTAAAATTTGCAAAATAAATTCATACTGTTGTTACTAGTGTGTGACATTACAGAGCTAAAAAGCATGAATAAGAAGGAACTTTAGTACAGTACAACTCATGTTTAAATTTCAGAAGGTGCTTTCTTATAGTTAAAATCATCCACAGCAAATACTATTTAAAGCTGCTTTCTCATGTGTCCATCACAGTATTAGCAGCAACAATTTCCAGGCAACATATGCTAAAACAAAGGGAAAAGTCTGCATTGAAAATCTAACCATGCCAACAGTTCTTCTATGTACTCATCTGAACTTCCCTACAGTTATTCCTGTAACTCCTATTTACTGTATCACCTTTTTAAATAAATAAAATAAAGTATAAAATAAAACAATTTCTGCAAGTAACAAACTTCACAACATTATGCAATAGTTGGCATAATGAAGCCCCACTTTCACCTGTAAACTTCAGGGGATGCTAAGAGTCACATATCCACACCACAGTTCAATAGTGTTCATAAAACATACCACCCACTATGGCACATCCTGATACACTCAAGATATTTAATAGTTAAACCGTGATCAAATTATCTGAACTTTTTGTTGCAGTATCTTCCTGATGCAAGTTCCAGGTTTAATTCCATGCCTTATATTAAGGCCCACCCCCCACACCTTTTTTTTGGTTTTGTTTTTCAACTTCAGCTTGTTTAATTAACCCTCCACATACTACTTCAGAACATCTTTTCTTATCTCACATATTTTTAGCATGTTTCTTAGTGTTACGATCTGTGTGTCTAAAAATATATGTAAAAAACTTAAATATAACAAAATTATAGAAAGGATGGTAAATATTGTTGTAAGAAATCAATTTTTGCAATTCCCAACCTGTAAAAAGTAAAATAAAAAAGGGGTTAGGGTAGAGACCTGGGGTCACTATCTTTTAAATGCACCTTACAATATCTCTATGTTGTTGTCTGATTACATATAGCTAGAACTATGTTCATAATATTTCAATTAATTTGAAAGCAATATTCTAGGAGTAATGACATCAAATTAATTTTTTATCAAGATCTGAAAAGGAAGAGATACAAAGGCAAGAAATGACTGAGCTCAAATAACTCAACAGAAGCAGTTGATAAGCTCTGAAATTTAAGTTTTTGAAACGGATAAGTGGAGTTAGAAGGGGGTTTCTGCCCCCCTCCCTCCTTCCCCCCCAGCCCCTCCTTCATAAAACGTGTCCTAAAAACCAGAAGTATAAATTAGCACAGCATATGCAAGGAGCCAAACATTTTTTCAGTATCAAATGCCAGAAGCATATCATACTACGTTACACGTTAAGAACAGCTACATGCAACTGCTGTTAGAACCAGTTTAATGCCATGTGAGTTTCAGATAAATCCAGAGTTTCTGTATTTGTAGCAAAATATGGGCCAAATATGACTGACAGTTAAAATGCATTCTGAGCCATGATAGCTGTATTCACTGTTAGGAATATGCGCTTCTCGGAGCTCTGGAAAGACTTTAGGGGAAAGAACTGCCCTGAATACAGTTATCTTTGTTGAAGCAATATGCATCTCTCGTTAGGATGGCAGTTCAAATAACCCAGTATTTTTTATTTGCATAACCATGTATTTCCTAAGCTCATGGCTTAGTTATTCACCCTTGTGACACCATCAATTTGTCTTATCTTCCATTCCAGGCCACAGAAAGAAATTAATAAGTTTGCTGACAAAAACTGAAAGACCAGCTTCTAATCAAATTTCCTAGTTCATCTAATTGAGTAACTAACTCCTGATCACAGAAATGCAGAAGGGAGAAACAATAAAGGCCTCAAATGCCTGAGCATGTTAAATCAGCTTCCCCAGACTCATAAAGGAGACGGCCGTGGCTAGCAGGGCAGGAAGGCACAGCTACCTCTATGGCAGTTCACCACCGCAAATGGAACAGGTATTAACCCAGTGGGAAGCACTGCTGCTCTACAGACTGCAATGTTTGACCACTGAACTCCTTGATGCTAAAGTAGTGCAAAGTCTACAAATCACTGCAATCACCTCCAGTTCTATGCAAAGCACCCTGGAGACCTTGGCTAGGGCAGGACACAAGCAGATAGCCAGAATGACCACTTTACTGTCTTCATTTGTATCTGTTCCCACCATCTGTTTCCACTGCTGCCTTCTTCCTATGAGACATGGGTGATTTGAATCTTCTAATAATATTTAGAAGGCACAACGCTAGTAAATAATGCACCTTTAATGTTTGAAAATGGATTGGTAGTGTTCAGGATGCTGTGGCTTTTTTTTTTTTTCCTTACAGTAGCCTTTCACTCCTGACTAGTCCTCCATGCCACAATACATTTGTGCACACAAATCAACCTAGTGATAACTACAGCAAAAAGCAGTGTTACCACATCCATCACCAACCTCTCCTTGCTTCTTTAGGGTACAAGACTCCCTAGTCAAAAAATACCCTACCACAAAATCCTAAGTCTCTTCTTCAGAAAAAGTCCTCTTACGACCTTGCTGGGCTGGAGGTGACCTGTTGCGAGCCCCAGAGATGACCAGAGACATGCAGCCCAACCTCCAGGAATCATCTCCCTTTCACTGGTAATAGAAGGAACTAAGCAAGGATCACCATGACACCCCAGCCAAGCAAATGAAGCGACAGCTAAAAATGGGTGCTACGTAGCAGATTCACAAGGGAAACAGGAGACCAGTACTTTAAACGCCATCAGTTTGATTTTGTATATGTTAAAAATCATGATGTCACAACAATAAGACTATTTAACATCAACCATCACAAGTAGAATTTCAACAGACAAGGTTAGAGAAGCACATCACATCTAATTATTTATTTGGACTCTAAAATGCGATTACATTCAAGTGATGGGCATGTACCTTAAATGGACAAATAAAAGTCGTCAAGAATTTTCAGACTACTGCATCACAGAACAAAAGCTGAAGAGAACTGAAAACAAAATTGCATCACAATGAGCAATCTCCAAAAGTCTTTTTCCTTCCCTGAGGCTAGAGCAGCTGCAATGGGTGGATAAGGTACGAGGGTAAGTACAGCATCTTTCCAGACAAAGACGCTTCAACAAGCTTTTATGTTTTCAGAGCATTACTTCTGAATATTCTCATTAATATTTTTCACAGCCACTTCAAAATTAATTTTTTCCCCTCCTTCTGGCCACGAACATGTATAAGCAGTTCTTTTTAACAGAAGAACTGTCAGACTTGTGAAAAAAAACAACTGGCAGGCTTTCACAGAGGTAAGCTATCTTTTTCATAGCAGACAAATAGAACAAATACTGGGATATTCACAGAATAACAGCTTCAGTTTGAAAGGATCTCAGGATCTTTATCTAACCCAACCCACACTCAAAGCAGAGGCTATTCAGTATTTTATTTATCAGCAAATTTCTAGTCCTGACTAGTCAGTCCAACTGCAAGTTTCACACATTCAAACATTACTTCTTCAAGCATTAAACAAATAAGAGCAACTGTAATATTAATTTAAAAGGTTAGTGTATATCTTGACTTTAAAAAAATAACTACTTAAAAGCTGTTATGTCTACCCAATGCATCACTTACAGTTATGTAATGACCCATTACAGAAACTACAGGATCCCTCTGACATTCATGCACATTTGCAACAAGAAAGTGAAAATCCCCCTAAGATCTCCTATTCATTGTTTACTCTAAATTCACAAGCAAAAAGCAGGTAACAACAAGCAGACTTCACAAGAACCGTCAATTTATCACCTTTGAAACAATTACCAACAGATACAAACTAATAGTATTACAGTGTCTGAGGGTAACAAATTTTTCTCTTTTTTTTTTTAATGAGTTTTTGTAGTACTTCAGGTTAAATGACATCTTGACTCAAGCTGAATTTAGCTTGAGAGTAAGCAAAACAAATCTAATCTCACATTTTTTAAATAATGCTGACATCTTCGCAGCGTTCCATAGGTCTTTGTCTTATTATCTAAAGAGATACTCATTTGCTAATGCAAGTTTAAACTTCCCTCAGTATTAACCTTAAGAACTCACCCCCAATCCACACTTAAAATTTTGCTTGCCTCCTTTTACCTGACATTCAATGATGATTAATAAAAACATCAGTCAGAGCAGATTGGCAGTGAAGTTGAAAAATAACGGTTTTCTTACAGACTAAACTATTAAGTGTATATTCTGCATGTCAGGAAGGCATTCCTTAATCTTATTTATGGATTATTAGCAGCCAAAAAAACCCAGAAAATCAATACAGACTTGAATTCATTGTGCTACATATAATTAAGACTTTAAATTATTTAATCCTTTAACTACAATTCCTTAACCAGGAAATATGCCGTCTTTATTTGACTTCTCATTTTCCTATAGCTATGGAATTTGTATTCTTAACTACATTATTCCCCTCCAGAGCTAGGCAGTAGAATGCAAACTACATTTTTCAATATTTCACCATTTCATTAAAATATCTCATATTTAAACTTGCTGGAGGCTTGCAAGACAACTTAAATAAAAGTCAGACCTCATTTAGTGTTTCCATTTTAGCTTTAATGCTAAAAATCATACAGAGCTCTGTCAAACATAAAAATGAAAGCAGTCACAAAACACCATTCATAAATCAGAGATTATATGAAAGCATACATATACAAATAATTGCTATTTCTGACTAGCAGGACACCAGAAAACATGCAGACACAGTAATTTCAACAAGTGGCATATTACCTGGGTGGAGCTGGCAGCAACAGAAATGCAGTCAATGAAACCATGTCTCCGAGTGAAAAATGCAACTATCTGCTGCCAACGGGAAGGCTCACTCCTTAACTCATCTGTTGAGCCTTTCTTTGCCCACTGCTTGTGCTTTGGGCCTACAGAACTGTGGCTTGAGCTAGTGTTGCCTCGACTGGCGCGAGAATAGAGGAGTGTGTTATTTCCGAAAATGTAATTCATCTCTGCAGCTCTGCAGGTGGTTGCCAGGCAGTCTTACTTCCCTACCAGCTGCTGAGTGGTGAATGAGCAGAGGAAAAAAAAAAAAAAATGCAGATAGAATTACAGCAGCATCATTTTCAAACCAGGAAAACAAAATCCTTGATAGCTGATGCTATTTTTCTTCCAAGCTTCTCCATCCCCTACATCCCCTCTCTACCTGTGATTACAGTGATGAGCACAATCTTGAGAAATTTAAAAAAAAAAAAAAGGCAAGCAAATGTTTTCCTTATTTCTCCTTTTTCAGAACCCACCAGATTGAAAGCTTGTTTTCTCTTCCTAGCTGACAACAGATATTTAAGAGAAAGTGGGTAGCAGGTACAGTACAATGTCACAGATTCACAGCTATGGGGATGGTGGTGGATGATAACAGCTACTGGGTGGAGAAAGCATGGATCAAAAATAACCAAGTTTCAATCACTGCCTGTAGTAAGATCCAATAGCATCTTTTCAGTTCCTTGCTTGCATAAATTATAAACCTGAACCGAGCAAAACAGGGAGTGTGCAGCATAACTGCACTTGTTCACTGATTCTTTCTGAAAACATTCCACAGAGCAAAAAGAGGTTAACACCATGCTCAGAGAAAATATTCAAGAAAGAATCGTTTGCTGGTTTCTTCTTCCTTTTTCCCCCTTCCTTAGTGCATAAAACAGAGAGGAAAGAAATCATACTGCCACAAAACAGTCATTTTGTGTTGCGTATCGATGGATGTCTAGAGAGGTTGTTTTGCTGCATTTTTTTTTTAACCAGCCAGAAGATTAGCGCTACTAAGATTAAACACTAGAAGTCAACATTCTGTTGCTCTTATTCTATGATTAATGCGTCATAATCATAACTCTTTCCAATGTTCTGTGACTACTGTAAACATAATAAAAAAATAATAAATACATATATATTTGTGACCCAGCATTATTTCTCAAAAGTACAAGAACTGGCAAAAAATGAAGAATTCTTATTATGCCCTAATGAATTTTCAGTAATGTTACTTTGATTTTCAATGCAAATCACAAGAGTATTACTGCTATAGGTGTGCATTTTCTCTGCTCTCTTCACAGTAAAAAAAAAACAGAGTAATTATCTAAAATAATGTATGGAATTCAAGTTACCTTACAGAACTCACCACTCAAATTTCTACAGTTAAGTATTTCCAAAAAATCCCCCAGCTCATATCAAAGAGGAAAATCAGTTAAGTGTCAAGGCTTTCTACAAGCTTACATCTGGAAATCCAACACAAAGTTATCAAAACTGTTTGTGGTATATTTCTATACAAAATCCTCAAACAGTCATAATCACAACACCAGGGTAAACATTTTCAAAAAGAAGAAAACTCATGGGATTAATAAGGCAGGAGAGTTCCTTACAACACCAATTTACAACACCACAATTCTACAAATCCGCTGACTCATGATGGGCATTTTAGTGGGGATTACCAAATTCCCCCATATATATTTTTTTTGCTGCAATATACTCTTCTGCTTAACAAATTCTTACTGACAGCTATCCTATTCTGTGTAACAAATTTTTCCTGACAACTTACATTACAAGCAGAAATAATAAGTACATTAATTTAAAGCTGTGGTAATAAGATCAATGCACCATTTACTTCTAGTCACCAGTATGGCTCAATAACGTATCACACAAATATTCTGACTACATCTTTCAGACAGACTTCATTAATATTCATAAAATACAACGGCTTATCAGCATAAGACACATGAAACTTAATCTGACTCGTGCAGTGTCCTCAAAGCTATGTTCATAAGATAGATAATGGAGGTAAAGAAATGCCTGAGACACAGTAGATGCAATGATCCTTTTAAATGGACAAGCTTTTTATAATGCAAATTCTTTTCATGGGAAGACTGCAGCCCTACTGGAGCCCTACTTTTTTCCAGACTCAAAGACAATACCTGCTCTGAAAAATGTCTATGAATTTATTAGTGCAGAAATTTCTTAATCCCTGGCTATGACTGAAGGTGTTTGGAATAAACCACAAATTACATGCTTTGAATTCTGAGCCTTTTCACAAAGAGTCAAAGTGAAAATTTTTTTTTTCACATTTTTCTTCATATGGCCTTGAATGTCAACACTGCTGTACACTTTTAAAGTATCTGAGAGCACAAGAACATTAGTATAACTTCCAAAAAAATCTTTAAGAATTCATGTTTATTTATAAATATACATATGTCTTCATAGGCTCTAAAGTGAGTCACATGGGAGAGTATTGTTTAAAATTTTGAAAGGAAACACCACAGTACATGGACAAGCAATGTACCAAGCACCTATTTTTCTTGCTGTTATGTCAATCTGTCTGAAGATGAGACAGGTTTGCTGTGTTTTAAGGCAGTTTCTTTCAAGGATCATTCCCACCCAGCCAACAATCAGCTCTGGCATCACTGATAAAGAGACTTTAGAAATCAGTGCTTCAGGAAAGGCTCATATGGACAAAAAAAAAAAAATATTCCTGAAAGTGAAGCAGTGATGATTTAATTTCAGTAGAGACAGAAATCCAAAAAAGTACTTCAGGAAGAGGTTATGCAATCGTGCTGGTGATACAAGACAGCAATCTGTGTCACCTACACTCCATATGGATGTTAATGATAAAGAGCAAGATTTGCTGACGCCTGAGAAGATAGAGTTGCAGTTATTTGTAGAAGGAGCTTGTAGTGGTGATGAGATAAATCCTGGTTTTTATAAGTTACAAAGCAACCTGAAGATAAAGACATGGCATAACTCTAGAGACGGCACAACATCAGGATAATGCAAATGAGTCCAGACTAGAAGAATGGTCGCTTGTACAGTTGAAAAAAAAAAAAAAATGGGTGGGAGTGAAAACAAGGGCTTGTTTTGGTCAAAGAGCATTTTAACAGAGGGTCAAACATCTACAAGTAGAAATCAGAGTAAGCACTATTTGGACAGAAAAAGAAGTATCCAGAGAAAGGAGACAACCTAGGAATCCTCAACACAGAGGTGGTAGCTGAAATTGCATCCATGAATGACTGTCTCCAGAGTCAGGAGATGGAACAGGGAGGCTCACCAGGGAATCTCAGGAAGTCCTAAAGGGAGCTGAGACATTCCATCATCCCTTTTTCATATTCTGAATATTGAACTGATGGGGATAACATTAAAAAAACCAAAACACACACACACCCCCCACAGCAAAAGCAAAAAGCCCCTATTTACCTATTTTCTGTGAGGCAAGAATTGAGATTTCGCAGATTAAAAAAACCCAAAAACTCAAGAAACAAAACAGCACATAATCAAGATTTCTGCATCGGTACACATACCTTCCTACAGCTTAATAAATTTACTGCAAGATATATCTGCATTTGTAGCAGATGAAGAGTAACATGATTTGTTCTGCAGCCAATTAACAAGATATAGTAATCACAGTGGTTACTGAATTTAAAAATTAGCATCAAATAGTTGGAATAAAGTTCCTCTGACTTTGCACCTGAGCCAATTCTTACTATCAGCTTGCTGAGACACATTAAAACATGACATAATGCCATATTTTAATCTCAAAGATAAAAGTTTTCCTGGATATACCTTTACAAGCAGCATGCACACCTTGAAATTAAAAGTCCACAGCAACAAAACCCATTTGTATATGCAAACAGCAGTCAAATCTCAATTACCCTTTTAAAACAATAACAACAACCCCCCCGAGGCATTTGAAAAGTGTCTTCTACTAGTTCTATGACCACCCTGCTGAATTTAATATTTGCTAAAATAAGCACAGACACTAAAGGAGTAAAATCAGTTTACTTAGTCTTTTAATTCTCTTAATAGAAAAAATTCATGAAACACCTAAAACAATGTCAGGGACTTATTTTCCTCTCAGTATCACTTAAGTTTTTACCAAAAAAACAGAGACAAAAGAAATGTGGAGGACTCATTTTAAATACTCAAATATAGACTACGCAACTTTAACTCTCCAGGCAGGGGAACAAAAAACACCAGTGAAAATGTAGATGTAAATTCACATTTACTTTTTACACTTTTCATAATTTTATGTTTAATAAATTTTTACTGGCATAGCAAATTTAAGTCTCATTAACAAACATATGCAGTATTCTAAGCCAACGCCCAGGAGTACACTACTCAGATTGGATACTGTGGAAAAAGAAATTGTTAACCATTTTGCTAAGACACATTAGAAAGCCTATTTTAGCTTTTAGTTGAGAGAAAGGATAGCCCTAGATCAAGAGTGATTTACATAGTCAATAAAAAGTAGATGAAGTTTACTGCTGAAACTACCTTATAAGTAAACATCGCAGCATGATTATTCTATAATGATATGTTTCAGTATAAATATTGAACATAAGAGATTATTACATTATTACTCATACTACACCTCAGACGACCTACCAATCTGTGTAGATTAAACTGCCTGGTCTTCCGCACCCTGTTCATGAATCTCCTGCCCATCTTTTTGGCACGCCACACTGATAAAAACATCCTGCCTTTAATGCAAGTTTCTTTACGCCTTCTTCAGTCATCAAAATGAACCCAACTGCACTGAGAGCTCAGGGAAAATCTCAAGCAAAAAAAGAGTATAACCAGTTATTAAGAAGACTCGATGTTGATTACTGTATCTTAGGTTGTTCTGATGTTTGGATTAATCCACAGTCCATCTGTTACAGTTTTTCTTTCTTGTCTCTGTTGCCAAGAATTTGCTGAGCAGAGCCATACTGAGAAAGGTGCAGATTTGGACAACTGCTTCTTTCTATAAGATACAAACTGGCAAAGATGACTGCACATATTTGTATATTCCTCAATTACAGAAGTTTAAAACTAATAACCTATCAAGAACTCGGACAAGGTATTTTAATTAAAGATTGTAGAGCACCTCCTCTCAAGAGTGACCACTGAAGTACGATGCTAGTGTAAAACTTAGTATTTCTGCAGGTATGTTCAAGTTTCTCTTTATCATTTCCACTATTCTACGTATGTTCCTAACT